TGTGTGGGGGGGGGGGGTAATTTGTGTTTGCTTCAGGTTTCAACAATTCAAGATTGTTGAATGTTTTGTGTTATTTGGAAATGAATAATTCTATTATAGTGTATACCTGTTTTATAATAATCTGATACTTTATGATTTTTCTAGAAACCCCTCCCCCACTTTTAAAGTTTCTTTTTAAGAAGCTGTACTATCACATTTTTCTTCTGTTTGTTTATAGGAACAGTCAGTACAGACTCCTCCCAGCCCTTCACCAGAGCAAAGCTCCATACCTCTCCTATTTGCTTGCACAGCTAGTGCCAAAACAGTGGTGGCTAATCCACTGCTACATCTTGGTAACTTAACTCATGATATATTACATGCCGTAATAAACCTTGACTCGCCACCTCATCCAGACGCTCAGAACAACAAGGTGTGTTTTCTTGTTGTAGTCATTTGCTTTTTTGTGTGTGTGGTTATTATCCAGTTTGCTTAGTGATGAATGTTTTTTGACGGCATGAAAACTTCCTCGTGTGCCTGTCTGTGACAAGTAATAAAACTTTGTAACAAATATTTCTTTGTAATATGGGCTAAAACAGTGACCAGTGAAAAATTATTACCCGTTCTTGAGGTGCTGAGCGTCGATCCTACAAGCTGAAGTAGACTGGCCACACTCGTGATCGGATATTTTTCCGGGATGACACCTGTTATGGAAAACATATTGTGCTACGCTGTCAGTGTCACTTTTGCCTTTTATGGCAATACGAACACTATTTTTGTTATATTAACAATAAGTTCTGTATTTTTTCTCTTAGACCTAAGTAAAATTGATAGATTTGAAATACAAAAACTGATGGTCTGCAGAGTGCAGAGAGGTCTGCATTGTTTCTGTGAAACAATGTATGCGCTCATACAATGAAGTCTTTTTTTTTTAAGTTTGCATAAGGTTTCTCCTGTAGTTAATCTGGGACTGAAAACTAAACTTAAAGCTTTAGGTTGAGTATGTTCTGAAGTTTTGAATGTGTTAGGTCCCAGATCCAGTTAACTTTTACTGGGGATTTCTAGAGAGTCCCAAAAGATCGATTGCTGCTCAGTTACTAGTCTGGTGCTTCATTTCAGAGGGAACAAACAAATGTATATATTTATATTAAACTTAATTTTTAACTGAAACTTGTGATCAACAGGCTCTCTAGCTCTTCACGTAAGTATATTTTGTGATACGTAAAACACATCAGCTATGACAAAAATAGTGGTGTTCAGTGTATACTAAGTAAATCGTGTGTGTGTGTCTGTTGTTGAGGTGCAGCAAGAGTTGTTCAAAACCAGGCTGCTTTACAGGCTTCATTCTGAAGTAAAGCCTTTGTATTCTGAGCCGGCATGTCAATACTCTCTAGGAGTACAATCACTTAATGACTGTTGTGAGTGTAGTGGTTTAAGATGTTGCTGTCTCTGGACTAAAGAATGCCACAGGTAGAGCTGAGCTGTGATTATGGGTTGGAGGGATGGGTGAGTGCTTCCCCTGTCTCTTTCAGTGCAAAGTAAGTGGAATTAAGTGAGAAGAGTTCTGATGAGAAGAATACTGCGTCAGTGACTTTTTCCATAAGCGCTTGTTATCTCTTCTGTATTCAGTGTTTGTTCTGCAGTTACAAATTTGTATTATATATTCAAGTACTTTGATACTAATGGCTGTTCAGTTTGAAGTGTAATCTTTTCTATTAAACTTTGTCTTCCAGATATATGTAATGCATACCTTAGCAGCATCACTCTCTGCTTGCATCTACCAATGTCTTTGTGATGGCCACAGCTACAGGTAAAGATTTATTAAAAGCAAACGTTAGAGAAAGGTCAAGATTCTGTTTCGCTATAGTAATGCCATAATTTGTAGTGCACCAAAAGTCAGTACTTAAGTTTGCCTGCATCTACCAAGGGCTATCACTTGAGCAATTATACTTTTTTTTTTTTTTAATAAATATGTCATCACAGTTCTTTATTTCACAGCTCATTACAAGCAAATCAGTTCACTGGAACAGTGTATCAGACATTGCTTCTAACTCATCGTCATTCTGTAAGAACGACAAGCTTAGATGAAACAGTGACTCCCAATACATCACCTGCTCAGTGGCCAGGTATTCATAGTTGCTTTGTTTTTTTCCTCTTAAGGAAAATGTAGCTGTCTGCATCTGCTGTAAGAGTCCAGACCATACCATAGTAAGACCATAGGGAAATTAATATTTTTATATTAAGTGCAAGAATTGTATGCAATGTATTAAATAAATCATGGAGCACTGTATTAAACTTAGAGAATAAAGAGCTAAGCCTTTCCTAAAAGAATTAAGGAGCCAGCAAAGAGTAGGTCTGAGACACATGGGAAGGAAGATTAATATTAGTAGACTTACTTGTTGTATCACAGTGTCTCAGCACAAGTTAAACTGGCAGTCTTGTTTCAAGATATATCCCAAAATTTGAGTGCTCTTCTGTGATTTTTTTCATTTGTTCTTGAAAATTTCTGAAGCATCTCATTAGCTGTTAGTCTAATATATGAAGACAAAAAGCTATAATAAACTGCTAAATATAAGCAAAATTTCGCTTTCTTGTGGAGTTTCCAGTTTCCTCTGAAACGACAATTTTTTTTCTATGCAGGAGTGTAGTAACTGATATAGGTTGTCGCTCAAAATACCAATGAGATCATATAATCAAGGGAGTGTTTGTTTTTCTTTCTTCCCCTTTCCCCCATGTTAGGTATAACAGCTCTAATACGTCTCTTGAATTCTGCTGGTGAAGAAGCCCAGCCGGGTCTCACAGTTTTACTATGTGAAATTCTAACTGCAATCTATCTTAGTCTGTTCATCCATGGCCTAGCAACACATTCCAGCAATGAGTTGTATAGAATTATGGCTCATCCACTTAACGACAAAATGTGGTCTGCTGTCTTTGGAGGAGGAGCTCATACTCGCAGCAGAGGACAGGTGCAATTAAAGACAAAAACTGGTTAGTTCTTTTATTTATATTAAACTCTTAGCTTTTTTAGAAAATAATTTGACTGCTGAAAGCATAAGAAAAACTGCTTGGAACAGTTTGTGTTCAGTAAGAATCCAGTATACTTTCAGATCTCCGAAGGAAAAAAACGGATTTAAAATCATTGACGTTAGGTATTCTATAGAAAAGAATCTAAAACAAGTGAACGATATTGGAATAAAGTTTCAAAGTAGTACAACTGCTGTAATGTGGGGGGCTAACTTAATCTTAACTAGCACGTTTTCAGTACTGCTATAGTTTTTATGTTTATTTTAAAGCTTTCCAGTTCTGTCCTAACAGGAATATTCCCTTTTTACAAATACAGTATGTTTTCTTTCTTTGGCAGGTAGGCACTTCCCAATGCCTAGCCCGCATCAGGTAGTAGTGTTCTCGATGGAATGTGTGGGGTTTTCCAAATCCCTTACTGCCTTCAGTACTCATAGTCCTACCAAGTCTTCAGGCAAGACACTAGATTTAGTATTAGGCCTCTACATGCAGTTTGCCATGTGTGATTTTTGCATATGTAGAAAGAGAGAAAAACTTCTGTTTGCAAGCCATGACATCAAAATATAAAGCAATGTTATGTAAACACAGAGGCAGTTGAATGGGACCTTTTAAAAACAATGGCGCTAATGTAGTACTTCCTTTGAAACCAGTTTCAAATATAAAATACAAAATTACTTTAACCATGGTTTGGAAAGATCAGAAGTATTTCGCATCTTTGGAGAGCTGCTTGTTTTGCTTTGTGAATATAAGCATTATTATGCATGTGGATTTCTAAGTGTTTTGCTCTAGACTGAAAAAAAAAAAAGTCATGTTACTGCTATTTTAATAGTGTGAGAACCCTTTAGAAAAGCAAATAACTCTTCATGTTTTAAATTCAGATAATGATAAATTATCCTGAGGTCCAGAATGACTTATGTAATGCTTTTCTTTTTGATCCAAGTTCCTATTTTGTAATTTAGTTGGGTTTCTATAAAACATAGAGCAGCTATCCTGTAAATATCTAATTTTAAAAAAGGAAGGCTTTATAAGCGTGAATCTGCTTAAACTACGGTGACTTCATATATCATATGTGAAGTAGATACATAAACTGACCTAAGAACCTTGCATTCGAGAGAAAACTAGAGTCTGATCTGGTTAAATACTGATTTGGTCAGACGTTTAGAAAAATATTTTTAAAATAGTACTCTAGTCAAAAGTGAGCTGTGTTCTAGATCTCACTGTTTTCACTATGGCATTGGATAAATATTTCTCAATATCCTTTTGTTAAAGTAACTACTTGCCATATTGGGTTTGTTTGAAGGCATAACTGGCTTTTTCTCTTGGTGTGTTAGGTGTTTGTAACGATGTACTAAGGTGTGTTAACGTTGTTGCTAGCTTTTTAAAATAATGAGATAATCAATTGTGGTTTTTTTTATGCAGAAAGATAACTCTGAAGGTTATTAAAGGCCTGTCTACTGTATATTTTTCTTGGAAACCGGCTCTGATTGTCTGATTGCAGATTTAGTGAAACCATATTACTGGAAAAGTCAGGAACTGAGACTGAGAATTTAAGGAAAGAAAGGACCTTTTCTAATACTATTTTGTAGAGGCAATCAAAGAGCAGTAGAGGGGCCCAAAGTAGTTGTGGAATCTCCGTACTGGGAGCTGAATCCTTAAATAGGCCAGGCCTTGAGCAGCCTTATCTAATAAATCTAAGTAACTTTGAGCAGGGGGTTGCACCAGTGACCTCCCCGTGTCACTTCCAACCTCTGTGATTTGTTTACCTAGTGCAGATTTTGGAGGAAAAATCTTTTCAAATTGCTTTAAATATTGAAGAAAAAATGCATTAGAAAAATAGAGCCTCAGTGAAGCCGAGGAGTCATATTAAAATCGACTGTAATTTTGTGTCGTTACTGTCGCTGTCATTTTGCTCTCTCAAAGGCCCAGGAATGGACTGGACACTAAGTTGCTTGGTCCGGTCAGCTATGACACGTTCTGTCCTTATAATCTGTAGACTATAGCTTTCCCATTTTATGTTATGTGTAACCAGAAACTTCTTTAGTTTTTATTTTCAGATTTTTGTGAAATATTTTCACTCCCAAAAGCAGATCCAAAGCAAAAAATTTTTAATGGTAAGGATCTCTATTATCGTAAACATTACAATTCTCCAGTCATGCAAGTCCCGCACTAAAAGCGAAAGGCCTGGGTACTCTCTTTCAGCCCTGCTTATTGGTCCTTGTCCCTGCACGCTTTCGTTTAGCTTAGAACAGTGAGTCTGAAGGGTTTGGCAGAGAACTTATTTCTACTCTCATTCTGCACTGGGATCTGGTAATCCTAAGGTGTCTCACGTGCCGTTTCTCTCCTTCCTTTGCCTTTGTTAAGGCTCCTATCTCATCCAACCCAGTTAAAAAACACCCCAAAAAACCAACCTAAAAGAACTCAGAGTTTTTAATACCTTTTATCTCGCAAGGTCTGCTAAAAGTAGAGCCTGATACATCTGCTTCTTTGGGATCAGCAGCGGTCTCCAGCTGGTTCCCGTCATGCCAGGCCTGTCTGGGCGCTCTCTCTTCACTTAACGTTAAGGATCTGAGTTTAAGGTACCATTGTCTCCAGTGGTACCTTCTCCTGGGGGCAGGAGGTGCTGGTTGAGGAATCTCAATACCAGGGTCTAATACTGTTCCAGACAATTTTTAATGCAGTGTGTGCTACCTGGTCATCAGAACTTAAGTTTTGGTGTGGGCGCTAAGTTTATTTTTGTTGTATGTTTCTTCTTCGTTGTCTGAAGAACTGAACATGCCTGGTGTGTTAGCTGCTGGAACCTCCTCCTCTCCCTTTCTGGCCTACATGTGCTAAGCTAACATGTAATACAACTTGTTTGCTGGTTCTTGCAATTGTCATGGCTATTGTTACCTACAAACCATGAGGCTGAAGGTGCTAGCTCTTTGCCGGAAGATTCTCTGAAAATATTTTGTCCTGGGCCTCCTCTTCTGTGTGCTCTTATTCTTGGAAAAAGCATGAGTGAGAAGAAGAATCCTACCCTTTAGTTTCCAGGTTCTTTTTGTGCTCACTGAAGAATGAGGCTAAGATTTCCAGCTGCTCCATTGTTGTTTTTAAGGCAACCATTTGGTGCCAGACCAAAAATTCTGAGTCAATCACTGCCCTTCTTTAACGCCCTCAGAGTCCTTGGAGGATGGACTCTGTTTCTCTCTGCTACTCATGTGTCTCCACATGGTAGTGTTACTGGAAACTGACTCCTAGTTCAGGAATTATACTTGTAAGTGATTGGGCAAGCTGAATAAGATGATCTGCTCTTCTATATTTCTTCACTTCTGTCTTCTGGAGTATTGTGTGCTTCCTGTTTGCGATAACCACGAGTTTGACAATATACTGTTTGTTTTCCTCACTCTTTCCAGCTGGTTTCACAAAGGGGTTCTGCTAACCCTGCTATCTTTTCATCTGCTCCCCAAATTTTGTTTCTATTCAGAAACAGAAATAACATTAAACCAGAATCAGTTTAGGTTTCCTGAAGAGCCTAAGTGACATAGAAGTTCACGGCGGTGATGTTTCTTGCAGAGTTACTCAGCTGAGCCATCAGTTGCTTCGTATTAACAGCTAATATATTCTGAAGAATAGCCATCTCTCCACTATTTGTGGCAGTAAGGTATGTGTTCAGTATTGCACTAGGTGGATTTTTTTTTCCAGTCATCTGAGTCATTAGAAGAACTTCCTTAAAGTTCAAGTTTCATCAGTAGCATCACGGAAAATTGTCTGCTCCTCAGCCAGATGACCCAGAGCACTAGTGATATCCTTCCTAAGCACTAATAGCACTTGGTAGAATAGACCTGCAGCCACTGGAAGGACTTACCCTTAAAGCTCAGTTCTTTGTTCATAAATAAGACTTTGGCCTGAGTTTTTATAAAGCAATGCAGCTTCCAAAAAAGCATGATCCTCCAAGAAACAACCTGTCACTACATTGGATATCCCCTTTGATGTTTAGGTGATTTTTTTTTTAGCAGCTTAGCCTGAATGTGGATGTTGAGCTCTGTAAATTTTGAACTTATTTTAAGAGATACAGGGTTATATACGCTGCTGGCCAGCAAAGTTAACATTTGGATTGTGTCGTTTCCCTCTGCCCCCTGCTTTGGGTAACTTGATCAATCAACTTCCTGATACATAATTTGAATTTCTTGTAATTAAATATGATCCTTGTTTTTCAATTTTTATTTGTAGACAAAAAAACCCCAGGAAAACAGGAACTAAAAAGTAGGTCTTGATGGTCTTGTAAATTTTGACCTCTATTAGTAGTTAATTTGTATGAAAAACTGTTGTTTCCTTGTTTGTCTCATAGTAAAGATGAGACAAAACATAGTGTCAGAGCTGCATCAGAGGTGCATGTGTTAAACTTCTCAGCCACGTTTCTTGTTTTTGCAGTTGCAGTAAATAGTTATGACAAACTGTGGGTTAACATGAGAATTTGTGTTCTTATTAATCTCTTAAGTTTGTGGACATACTGTATTTTCAAAGAGGAAATTAGCTTCTGAAAAATAACCCTATTGTTGGTCATGATTTTTGGAAGATCTTGTCTATTTCCCATATAGTTTCTCTTCAGAACAGCCTGAGGAAAAACGTGTAACTTAAGTCTACAGAGAGATGTTTCTTAAGGATGAGTTTGAATTTTACTTTAACAGTTAGAAATCCATAGTTTCATTTCATATACTCAATTATTCCATGCTGCAAGAATAAATGACCTGCAAAACGTATTTCAAAAAACTGAGTGTTTTGCAGTATGCATTATGTACTTTGAGTAGTCATTTTGGATTTCAGATATATAACATGTCTTCAAAGAACGTCCGGTGTACTAGTCGTCTATACAAAGTAAGGAACGATGATGAGAAATGTTCTGCTTCCGGTATGCATAGCACCGTTTGCATTGAATACTTTGAATCCTATTGAAAGCCTAGGCAAGCTTACGTTATTCTTTTATCCTCCATCTGTGTATAGTGAAAGCTGGGAAGTGAGCCCACATCTTGACCTGGGGAGCAGAGGGTGTTAGTTTGGGTGAAACAATTTGACGGGTGTTTCAAGCAGGTATCCCTGTCCTGCATTTTCTCCCCGATGTCCTAACTTCTCAAACAATTAAAAAAGTTTTAATATCATTTTTATTCTTAATTAGTGCTAGAGGTGTAGTTCTGTAGGCAAAAATGATGAACTCCATCTCTTATTGTGCTGACTTTTGCCTAACATGCCAGAGGTTTTGAGAAGGAAAAGCCTTAATAATTTGGATGTGCTGATAAAACTTGTCCACAGACCATGCAGACCTGCTGTCAGTCTTATGCTTGTATGTTTTTCCTTGGATCTTCTGGATTGATTTGTAGCTTTCCCTAGTTTTCCACAAACTTACTCATGACTTTCAACAGAACATGTTACTATTACAGATTTTATGAATGTCTGCCTTAGCGTAGCAGAGTGCCTAAGCAAAAGATGAAATCATTGTTTGGTTGGTCGAGGTTTATTTAAGGAAGTATAAAGAAGAAACAGAACCTCAAAACTCGCACTTCTCTGCTTGATGTGCTGCTGTGAGGAAAATTTCGTCAAGTTTCACTATTTAAAAGGAAAAAAGAGAAACAAAAAACAACCTGCGTTTGTCGTGCTTCTAACCCTTGTCAAAGTAGAAGCTTGCTATTTCAGACCAGATACTGATAATCAGTTTCACCAGCAATAGTAAAAAGCGTCCTCACTTAAACTTTTTCTTCAGGAATGGCTTAATCTCGGAATAGATAAAAGGACAGATTCCCCAAGTTCTAAAGCCTTTCAGCTTGTGGAAGGAACTACAAATAGCCATGTCAGACTGCTCCTTTTAAATGCAGAATTCCCTATGATATGATTAGTAGTTGGAATTTTGACATGCATCTGAGATTACTCACCTTAAATTCCAGCTCAGAATTACAGGCTTCAGTGTTAGGCTGGACTTCTTATGGCACTTTGGAGCATTGAGCAATCTTCATTACTTGGCTGGCCTTCCTATTCTATATTGAAGGAAGTCTTCTCCCTATTACTGTGTCTTTTTCTTGGTTAAGTCAACCATAAAAACAGATTGGATGTTTGATTCAAAGTGTCTGCACTGTGAGTGAAGGAGTTATTTTGGTAGAAGAAACCTTAGATCTTTCAGAACAGGAAAGGTCAAGAAAGTCTGTATACATCACCAAGTATTTTGTTGTGCTTATCTCTTAATTTTTTCAGAAGTTTCCATTCACAGTGTGTTGGAATGCACACAATGTATATCGTATCTTCAAAAACATCTGAGTGTTCAGTGTACACTTGCTTTCAGTTTTTCAGTGAATCAGTGCTCATTAAATTGTAGGTAAATATAACAAAGGAGGTGGTAGTCTTGTATAGTTTGACTAATGTAATCCTATGGAATATCATCAGGTTGCTACTGTCAAGTGTGCTTATTCATTAAATTTGGGTACTTTGGCCAGATGACTGAAGCCATGTAGATCAGGGCTGTTGTCCATAAATAAACAAAATATGGTGAGATTTTCAGAGTTTGTATGCCTGCAAAGTTGAAAAAGTCCAGCAGTGTAGGCTTTCACTTGATGGCTGTTCACGTTGCCCTTCATAGCTTCTGAAAGGATTGCAACAATCTATAAAGGGCTTTGCGCTTACTACAGTGATTCAAGATGTGACTTGGTCTCTAGTTCTCTGTCACATCTCTGATATTCCACTTTGTTTTGGGCTTCCGCAAGGCTGCTCTCTATTGCTGCTGCAGTCTGGAATGATGATTTTGTAAGTGGAGGACTTGATAATTTTACATTTCTTAACTGAAAGCTCGCATTTTGCGTTTCTTTGGGCTGTTGTCAGTTTAATGCATGCACGTCGTCTTCAGTAAGACACAGTAGCTTTGACTTGCTTTTTAACTTTGTGGGAAATTGAAAGAGAACTGTCTTTTTGGTCTGCCTGGGGAGGCAGAAAGGAGGTGAGGTGAACGAACCTGTCTTTGGAACATCATTGCATGTGTTAGATCTTGGTAGAAATGGAAGCATTTTTCTTTTCTGAAATACTCCATTTTTTCCTTGGAAAATAATACTATACTTAAAAGAAAAATGTGAAATTAATGAGACTAAAGAGAATGCTTTGGATGCAAAATAGGTGAAGTAGTTTTAAGTAGAAATACATGAAAATTAATTTGAAAGCGAAAAAATCTATCTGAAATCCTAAATGACAGTGTTAGTTTTTTTTATGAATTTGCAAATTTATTTAAAGATTTTTAGAATGCAAAGAAGGCACCAGTAATATGTATTTCAAAACCGCTCTAGGTCTAGGTAGTTGTACTTTGATTTGTCTTAAATATGGAGTTATCTATCAATGCCTAGCCTGTAACATGCTTAAAAATATGAAAGTTGAAAAAGAACGTGAAGAGTAGGGTTTCAAAGCACGGCATTGGTTTTTGAATTCTGCTCTGAAAAGCAACTTGCAAACCTATTCTTGCTTATTTCTGCATCATGCAACCTTATCAGTCTGCAACCTGCAATCATGCTCCTTATTTTTCTGCCTAGTGAGTTTTTTTTTTTAAAGCAGTTGCTAAAATTCCATACAGAGTAATGCATGTGCATGCTCTTTGTTAGCTGATGAACTTTAAATAATAAAAGGAGAAAACATTGTGCTACAGCTATTATATTTGCAGCTTTTAATACAGGTAAGTGAATTCCAAATAATATTCCCTAATGGCGGGGGAAAAGTCTATGTTACAGTATAGTAGCATAACAGGCTATCCCGATATCGTAATTTCTAGATGGTGGCGCAAGATGAAATAATGTCTCCAGCTTTTATTACATTCTACAGAAATTATTTTGTAGTTCAGCTGTTTGTAGTTATAATGGTCCAATTGTGGTCAAAAATGTTTTTGAAAATTCTTAGACAATTTTATGTTCAGGAAATTAATATGCAAAAAAATCAACCACTGAATTTGTGGAATAAATCGTGCCCCTTTTCTAACAAAAAAAAAAAATTATGATAATAAAAGCATTCTTATGTGCCAGTGAGGCATAAAAAGACAAACTTATTGAAACCAAAACAAAAAAAAAAGCCCACAATGATTTAAATCCTGCTTTTCTCAGGGTTCACAGTTGGCTCAGGGAGACATTTCTGCTATGAGCATGTAAGTTGTAAGTGTAGCGTGTAACTTCTTAAACTGGCTCTGTTTTTTCTTTTGTCCGGAGTGTTAGATCTTCTGTTTTCAAGTGACTGGAGTTCCCAGAAGAGTTTAGAAGGAAATAGTTTTTCAAGCATCTGTCAAGACTAAAAAACCTCTTGCGGATAAGACATGCAAACCAAAAATACAACTAGGAAGTACTTGCAGTAGTTCCCTCCACTCATACACAGGGTTGCTGCCTCTCTTTTGGTAATCCTCAGCATTATTAACGGGAGAAAGTAATTTCAGCAGCTTCAGTGGAAGCTTTTGTGGGCATTTGGTAACAGAAAGGAATAAGGTTAGAACACAAAGCAGCCGTTTGCGTTTGTGATCTTCGTGTTCATCCTTGAAAGCCAATCTGGCTCAGCTCTATCTGTTCTTACGTTTTTTTAGCTTGCAGGTTGCTTGTCTTGGAGCCTATTTATTACTGCTATTTTATTACATCAGTTAAATTTAAACTGTAAGGCAGCCCACACTCTCCTTTACTTAGCAGAGGCATGTAGACGAGATCTTTTGCGACTTGCCACCTGGTTTGCTTATTACTGTATACAAAATGAAAAAGCCACTTATTTGAACAAGAAACGACTGTTATATGGAAAGATTTCCTAGACTCTTCCTCCCCAGCTCTTTTTTGTACTACAAAAAGAAAAACACGGTCCAGGTTTGTTTCATAGTTCTTCTGGATGATATTCTAATTTTCGAACCTTAGTTGCATAGCCTTAAAGTGACGATTTTGAAGTGCTTAAGGAAAAAAGTTAAATGTTCAGTGCTCAATTAAATAGGTGGTGAAAATTTTGGATTTTTTTCTTATAGAGACTGTTTAGAAGGACTTCTTTTTCACCTTAACAATTCAGCTTTCTTTGTTTTATCTAAGCCTTGATTGCGTTTAATTGTTTCACTATAGTAATTAGTCTTCATGTATTATATCTATCTATGACTTTGAAAATAAAGAGCCAATTTCACTGTCAATTAAGAAATGGATGCAAGGGTGTGTGTGTGTTTGTTTGTTCTTCCTGTAATTGAAGAAGGACGAAGGTCGTCTTGTTATGTTACATCTCGGAACAGGTTCCCTTTCTCCCTCTTCCTTTCCACCACTGAAGTGTTGTGGAAAATCAGAGCACTGCTTTTTTGCTCGAGGACAGTGGCAATCCACATCATTCCCTCTCTACTGGTAAAAAGACTTTATTCGAGTAGAGTTCAGCCAGCAAGAGCAGGAATGACTTCAGGTCGTCAGATAAGGTTATGTGAGCCCCTCCTTACTCTCTGAAGTAAGCCGTTATTTTTCCCTAATGATAGAGGGAAAATAGAGGCTCCAAAACAAAGCTTGTTTGTTCATGTAGCTGTAGAACAACTGCATTAAGATTTTTCTGATAGTCTGGATAAACAGTTTCCTTGTGCTCTCATCCTGGAGAATGGCGTTGGAAGAAATCTCTTTGCCTTTATTCAGTAGGAAAAAGTGGCTCTCTTAAGGGAGGAGGGAACCCTCAGCTCCTTGGAACTAGGGTGTTACTGCAAATAAACTAGTCATAGCAGTTCTCAGTTTGATAAGACATATCTTTAATTGTAATGGTGAAAATGGGGCCTTTCATGTTTGCTGGAGAAGTTTTGTTAGGACAAGTGGATTTATCAGGATCGAACTGTTAAGGGGTCCTCTGGAAGCAGGTCAACTATAGAACAGGTGGAAATCTTCATTTGCAGAAACTTGCAGTAGGAATGGTAAGCTTAAATACTTGCACTACATATTTTGAAAGATAAGATTGTTGACTTATCCTAAAAAAACAGCTTAGATGAACATTCGGTAGAGTTTATTTAAGTAATCTAGTTCTTTGTGATATTGTTATTTAAATTGTGATATGTCATCCATGTTGCAAGAAGAAAGCTTTTAATGGAGTTATGTGCATATGCTACTGCTATATATTATATTTTCTGGGGGTTGTCCCCTTTTTGAGTTCTAGTTGTTAGTTTTGCATATCTGAGGATTAATTTTCTTTACGTTTGTTTCATATAGAAATGTTAAGCTAAAATTCTGAGAATGTAAGGAGGAAGAACTTGTGATGAGGAAGACACTTACTTTCTCTCATGAATCTCTTTATTTAAAAAAAAAAAAAAAAAAAAAGCAAGGGGGCAGGGGGGCTGGCAACGCAAAGCAATATATTGTACTGTTGGTTTCTTCCTCTGTAGATGATGGAGAGAAACAGCAAAAGCGTTTCAGACTTTCATCAAAAACCTCTTCAAAAGAGAATTCTCAGTCACCTTCATTGCCATTGGTAGACCAGGAATCTTCGTCTTACAGAGAAAAATTTATTCCTCCTGAGCTTAGTATTTGGGATTATTTCATTGCAAAGGTAATTTTTTGCTATTATAACATTTGGAGCACCTTTTTATCACTTCTGGAATAGTAATTTTTTTTCTACTTAGTCTTTATGCTAGGTATTTAAATTAAGATGTGTGATAAAAGCTAACTTTTGTCATTACTCATATTTCAACGGTTTCTAAAATATTGGCTGTAGCTGCTGTATTTGAAACAACTTTATTTAAAACTGTATTACGAAATCGATTTGATTTCAGATAACGATATGAACAATGTAAAAAGTTGCCTTTTTGCAGCTAAAGAGTACAAATATGCAGGCAACAACGGATCAGCTGTTTAGATGAAAAAGGAAATGGGAGAAGCTTTTGATCATCAGTGTCGAATGGGGATGGGTGAAATAAACTTGTATGCTTAACTAGAAATCAAGTTACATTGTTCTGTGCGAAGTCTGCAGTGGCAGATCTTGCAAATGTGATGTGTGAAGTACTACTCCTGCAGAAGGCTTGCTGTGTTAAGAGCACCTTTTCTTAAGACTACAAATATGAGTAAGAAAGATGCACAGATACAGTCCTGAATTTTGTATAGATATGAAAATGTATGTTTTCCTCTCCAGAAAGCTATGTCATTATTTCTAGTTAAATGACACATTTCTATATGGTATACTGACATATCAGCCATATCAACCAAAAAAAAAAAAAGTAGGCAGTGTTTTAGGAGCAAGGACAAAAAAAAAAAGCACAAATAGTGAATAAAACAGTGGGACAGTGATAGTGCCCTTGTTGTAAATACTGAGCTCTGCAGTCAAGGGATAGGATTTTCTTGTTCCTCAGTTCCCTGAGCCTTTCAGGGACCAGGAGAAGGAGACAGAGACATGAAGTCTGAAGGGAAAGTAAAGCAAAATAAGACTTAGAAAAATGTTACAACTTTCATTTTTGACATTAGAATTTTGAGCAATTCAGAAAACAGTTAAGCTATTGAAGTATGCTGTGTCCATGAACACTTACCTTTTAATGAGGTACAAACTCAAAATATTACTAAATTGAGTTAGATGATATACTTATTTTTTATGTAAAACACTAAATATTGGTAAGTATTGGATAGAAGATACTCATGGAATATTGTCCTTTTTTTAGCCTTTTCTTCCATCACAAAGTAGAGTGGAATATGATTCAGAAGAGAGTCAGGAAAGTGATGAAGATGATGATATTGATGGAGAAGTGTTTCTGTCAAATTCACATAATCAAGAGCATTCTAATTCAAATTCATACAGGTAACTGACTTGGAATTCAAGGTGTTCTGCAGTGGTTGGACTTGCATTTGTGGCCATTTCGTTTTGATATAATGCAGCAGTTAACTTGACATTTCATAGAAGTGCATTAGACTTTTTGGTTAGTAATTTATAGTTCATATTTTACTTGTTTTGCTGATACGTGATATAGTGACTCTTGCATTCAAAATGTCTTCCAAAGTCTAAAAATACTGCTCATAGTCCTGAACAGTTTACAACATGAGGATTTAAGATTTAAAAAAAAAAAAATCCTAATTGTGAATACATGAGAAACTTATTTTCTTATTAGTAAATGACACAGTGCTTTCTTGTTAGTTGGTCACTGATGCGACTGGCAATGGTTCAGCTGGTACTTCACAATTTGAAGACTTTCTACCCTTTGGCTGGACATGATCTTTCAGGTAATAAGCAGCAGAGTTGTCTTTTCGTATTTAATAACCACGTTTAAAAATCAGTCATGTGTTGAGTAATAAAAATGCTCTAGCTTTATTTTTAATTTAAACATTCTAACTTTTTCTCTGGTTTGGGATTAATTTGTTCTGATCATTCTGTTGATGGGCTAATGTGATGAGTGGTTTAAAAGACTGGGTGTGAAGGAATGCCTAGCAGTTAGCAGATAATGGATCCAAAATACCGTTGTCACAGCAGAAGTCTCTTTGTTCTCGAGTACTTTATTTGTGCGCTTAGTTTATCCTTAGGTCTCTTAGGCATGCGAGAATGCTTACAATATGTATTTCTCAGTTTACACTATACAACAACAACAACAACAACAACTATACAACAACACTGTTGTTCAAAGTACATCGTTCCTATTCTGTGGTTGTTTTCAGTCAGCCTTGGAGAATGCTGCTCCTGTAACTAGTTCCGGCAGCATAAAGCAGTTCATCTCTTAATACTTGCAAGTATTAAGTTGAGGTTTGAATGAAGCTTAAATTCGGGGATGTTGGAAGTACCGTCCAGCCTTCAGCAGTGGAATCATCTGCATGATGATTGTAATGGAGAAGCAGGGGTTTTTCAATTGTTTGCTTGTCTTTTTAGAGCTTCCAGTTAGTTCCCCAATATGCCATGCAGTTCTGAAAACACTACAGCGCTGGGAACAGGTCCTTCTGCGACGTCTTGAGCTATATGGAGGTCCACCTCAACATTATATTTCAGTTCATGCTTCTGAGGATGCGTTAGCTGCTGGTCCTGCGCTACTTCGCCATAAAACTTTACTCGAGCCTGCAAACACTCCCTTCAGGTGAGTGTGTGTGATTTCTGCCAACACTGACTATAGTGTATTTTATTATATATCCTGCGTATTATGTTGTCAGTGCAGGTAATAGACCAGAACTTTGATAACTACGTATGCCACTTTCTAGATTTGCTATAATAATCCCATTCGTAAATTGTGGATATGCATCAGAATTCACGCATATCTGGTCCAAAGCAAGACCAAGAAAAATGGTAATATTTTGTAACTTTGTTCTTAATTTTTTTTTTTAATTGAAGCTTAACATAGCCAACTGATTGTGAGTGTCTGTAAAGAATGACTATGGTTGACAAAAAAAAACCAAAAACCAAGCTTGCCTTGGGAAAGATAGTCGTTAAGGATGAGTAATAATGAATTAAATAATTGTTCCCCCTTAGGAGGGAATAAAATTAGATTCTTATCGATACCCTTTCCTAAAATCGAGGGGGGAGGGGGGGAAATGTCTTCCATTTGTTATGATTGTGTAGTTGTGTAGTTGTGAATCCGTAAAACTGCATATTCCAGTCAGAGAAGTATGCTCGTTCCATTTGTTATGATTGTGTAGTTGTGAATCCGTAAAACTTTATATTCCAGTCAGAGAAGTATGCTCAACTTTCAATTGTCACTTTCTTAGACTTCTGTTTTTTTAATCTTGCTGTCATCTATAGTTGCAGAACCAACAGGAAAGTCCAACTTTTCGTTGCAAAATACCTTAGGCTTATCGCACGTTCCTCCCTGCCCCGTAACTTGAGTGGATAAAAAAGGGAAAGCCTAACATTTGTGGTGTGGTCTAGGTTTTATGAGGCGTGCATCTGCTGCATGGCATTATTTTTACAATTTTTTCAGGTGATTTAGGGTTTGATGCTTTGGGGCCTGCTTTGAGGAGCTATTGTTAGATTTCGTTAGAGGAGCAACTTAGATTTGTTGCCTATATATTACTCTTTATTAAAATAAACCACACCAAAAAAAGGCTACTGTCATTTCTGAACTGATTCTGCAGTGTTCTAGCTTGTCATGGTGGTTTCAGAGATGTTGCACAGCTGATGATCTGTTCCTTAATAGGAAGTGCTTGTCATTAATTGTCCTTGTATTAGGAGCTTTTATCAGTGATGAATGTAAATGATCTATTTTGAAGGTAGACAAATAATGTGTAGCCTAATCTTATTTTTGTGTAATAATCTCTGAAAGAAGTTTTTTCTGAGCTGTCTCAAGGTAGGAGATAAAGATATTCTTTTCTTCCTTCCCTTTGCTCCCCCTCTCATCTGTAGGTCTGCCGGGAAGCTGGTGCTAGAATATTTGTGGATAGATGTTGTCCAGTGCTTAGAGAGCTATAGTTCAGCCTTAGCATTTCTTCTGACTTAGTTTGGTTAGTATATAAATTATTGCAGTCTCTTATAAGTATAAGCATGATATAAATATTCATTTTAACTCTGATCTGTAGATCTAACAGTCATGTTGCGCTATCTGTGAAGCGGCTTTGGCAGTACTTGGTTAAACAGGAGGAAGTCCAGGAAACCTTTATCAGAAATATTTTTACAAAGAAGCGATGCCTAAATGAGGTTGGTATAGTATATGAACTATTGCAACTTAATCTGTGAGCTTTTATTTAAGAAACCTGCCCCTTTGGGGTGTTTTTTTTTTTTTTTTTTTTTTTTTTTTTTGCGCATGAATGAAAAAAAAATTTTTTTTAG